GTAAAACTGAAATATGCATAGGTAATCTCCATTATAGGGAAATATATATATATATAAATAATCAAATAAATTTACACAGATTATAAAAAATAGCTGTACACACAGGTTAAAACATGATAAAACTTATACAACAATCGAGCTTGACAAAGCAATTAAACACATTCATATACAATAAAATTTTGGCAGTGAAATATAAACAAAATAATTGAAAGCATAAAAATTCCTATAATGCAAAAAAGCAGAAATACTTCCATGTGTGATGGTAAGACTTAGATTACAATAAAACCAAGCATAGTGATGGTGCATTATGGCTGATGTAGGGCGGAGGTACTCTGGATATAGCCTTTCTCCAAAATATAGCAGTGAAATAAACACAAATACACACATGCTGGTTTGTCTTTCGTATTCTGTGGTACTGTCTGTATATGTAATATGGTATACAATCCATATATACCATGTCATATATACTGTATACCAGGGGTGACTATTGAGGGGGAAAACAACTATTGTGATAGCGACAGTCACGACAGTCTACTGCAACCAACTATTGCAATATTATAGGTTTTTCGCCTTGAATTCTCTCATTCCCTAATGAATGTACAGTTTGTATGAAATAAAAACAAGTTGAAGTAGTTTCAGTCTCTTTTGATAACTGGCAAGAAACATGAAACCCAGATCAAGTAAACAGTCATGTTTGTTTAAGAGGTAACAGGGGCAGATAACTCTAAATCAAAGTGAATGAATCTGGTACTTGCTGTATTTCGCACTGCACATTTATCAATAGTGACTATCGATAGTCACACATACTATCAATGCATCGATAGTTTTTCGTTTCTACCATCAAATATTTGCTATCAGAGACTCAACAATTGCAATCCATCGATAGTTCGATGCACCGTTACAGCCCTTCTGTATACACTATGTGGTAAAATAATAATAATGATAATTGCATTTATATAGCACATCATTCACTAGAAAATGCTCTGTGAGCTTCTCTGGTATACGATCCATTATATACAGAGTCTCATATATTCTGTATACACTGTATGGTATACGATCCATCATATACAGAGTCTCATATATTCTGTATACACCATATGGTATACAATTGTAGACAGTGCTAAACATTCTGTACACATAATGTTGTACAATCTGTATACATCTTAGTATACACAATATGTCATACAACCCGTATAGAGCTTCATGCAATCTGTATACAGTGTGTGTTACACACATTATATACTGTAAGCTGATCTGTATACAATATGGCAGCGTTGTATAAACTTTACATATGCTTGTGTATATATGTTAAACATATTGTGTATACAGTACTTTGCACATCTGTATACCCTGTCTGGGAAGTCTCACAGTTAACAAGGCAGGTCCTAGATGTTAGTCCGAAACCCAGGCTCGGTGCTCATAAACCAAGAAATATAAGAGATTCAAACCCTGTTCCATACAACAACTGGAGGGCCACAACTTTTATAAGTCCACATTAACATATTTCAGCTACAACTTTTGTACACACAGTGTGAAATAATATCTTTAGCTCGAAGCCTCATTACCAAGACCATTACATACAACAGTCGTGGGATTACCAAGACCGTTACATACAACAGTCGTGGGATTAAACTGATATTTCCAAACACTAAGAACTTTAGTGAGTCACCACGTTTAAACCATGTGAGGTCGTTTGTTTAAATGACTTCAAACCAGCATGTTTGTCACAAGACCACAGTTGACGGTGTGTTTAAATCACTGCTTGAAGAAAAGCTATACACAGCCATATCAGTTCATGCAAAGCAATAATACTTGGGCTGGGTGCAGGACGTAAACAATAGTTGCCAAATGAGAGGAGTTTCATGAGTATTGATGCCTCGTGGAGTGAACGTGATTTCAAGATCAATGACATTTATCTTACTTTGTCGTTTAGTTTATACTTATTTCTTGTGATAAAATTATCAGGAAAATCTGACACATTGGTATTTCATCCAAGATACATCAAAACTTGTTAATAAGCCAACATCAAATTTGTCTTCGATTCGTATAGAAAGAATCACACAAATTAACTACTCCTGAATTCTAGTGCAAATCCAGTTTCACTCCGACATAAATAGCCCTTACATGTCTTCAGAATACCTTGAAATCAATCCTTGTACTGACACAAGTAATATTACATTAAAAAATTAAATACAAAAGAAGGAATCTAAGAAAAAGACAAAGCAAATATGGTCGCATATTTCAGCAACAAAAAATATTATATAACATGAAACAGTAGTGTAGGTCAAGGTCACCTACACACGAAGGTCAAGGTCATCCTAGTCAAGGTCATTCATACCCATGGGGTTAATTGGTGTGTATATACAGGAGATACTCAGAGACTATACAAGAGAGATTATGGCATTTAAAAATATCTGATATAGAGATTAATTCGAGGCATATTATCACATTGTAATTAAATATGCAACAATAACAGACATTGACATGATCGGAAGCAAAATCTTTGAGAATATCCAAACCTAACATGTAACAATAACTGCAGATGTGGAAACAAACATGGACAACTGTACAAAATCTAACATCGGAGATCTAGCCGTCATTGTTGAAAAGTCCTCTTTGATTGGTTAGATTCAAATTTACATCCGCACATCTGCTAATGTTTAGTAAAATACTTTTGGATTTCCCGGGTTTTTAATAATCAATCAATTGTAGTTGTTGCCGTAGTGATGAATTATTACTAACGCAACACTGCATTCATAACAAGTTACTACAGGAAGCTTTGGATTTTCATGGGGACGAAGGGGGAAGTTGGTTCAAGATCAGCATTTTTATACTTCAGCAGAAATAGGTGCTCAATTAATTGATTTTTAATTACAAACAAATTACAAACTGTCTTACTTCAATACTTGAAAAGCATGAATCAGTTTATTTACCACCGCGAAGGGCAGATTTGATTTTTCTTAGGTAAACAGTCTTGATTGCTTGGTTTAGAGGTGCCCACCACCCAATCAAACGATGCTCCCTTAATATTGCATGAAACCAGGAAGTGCTACTCCATTCTCAATAATGTTTGAGAGATGCAGAATGCTACAGCCGAAACTTACTGAAACATTGCTAACATTCACATTGTTACTGAAACACTGCTTCCAATTTACATCAAGGACAACCAACACGCTCGGGAGAGTTATCTCCCCATTTCCTGAAGACTTTTCTTACAAGGGTGGTTAAATATCCTTCTACACTGCTCAACTTAAAATAAGGATGATTCTCATCTCATTACCCATCAAATACTTGGATACCTGTAGAAAATACGTGAGTTTAGTTTAACATGTTTAATGATGCCATTTAGTTAGTTAGTGAGTGAGCATGGTTTAACGCCGCTTTTAGCAATATTCCAGCAATATCACGGCAGGGGACACCAGAAATGGGCTTCACACATTGTACCCCTGTGGGGAATTGCTTATGTTATATTGGGGATTACACTTTCTTAGTAAAGTACATGTTCTAGTACTCTTGTTGGGTTAAGTCCCATCTGGGATTCCACAAAATGGAAGTCGGACAACTGGTAGTCTGGACTGCGGACTTTGTGTACCTTCTCAAAGTGTAAATTGGCACGGCTCCCACGGCCGAAAGCTATGATTACACAAAGCCATTTAGAAAGTGGTCAAATGTAACATATGTTATATTTGGGATTACACTTTCTTAGTAAAGTAAGTAAAAATCCTTATCAAAAGTTGAGCAGTATAGTCACTATCAGAGTGTTCAAATGGATCCAACATGTTCTCATGATCAACAGAAGCAATAACATCCTAGGTATTGTCCTTCGCAGGAAGTGGTAGTAATACATGGACACAACATGTCAGAATTCTTAAATGATTATGTGTCATTAGTGATGATTAGAAATTCATAACATAAACATGTTTCAAAGGGAAAATACAAATTCAAAAGCATTATATACAAATGATCTAGCATAACAATGAGTCTCTAGACTAGCAACAATACAGTCAGTCACATCCGATATATTTGAAATATGCCGGTATTTTCAATCTATTCAATATAACAAACATGTCGCAATTTCACGACTGTTTCAGCCTTTTCAAACAATACACGATGGAAACATCAAGGTTGTCATAAAATTGATTCAGGTTCTCATCTGCATAGTTAATTCTGTGCTGTCTAACAGAAAACAGGACACTGAAATCAGGGAGTTTCTATAAATATCCTACGATATATCACTGTATTGCGTCATGATACCTTGCTGACTTCACCCCTAAGGGACCGTTCATAATTTATGGCTAGGGGGGGTGATGATGAGTGTTACGGAGAAGCATGTACAATGTGAATTAACCCCCCCCCTAAATTTATGTACAAAATAAGTAACCCCCCTGCATGTCATGTACAAAATCAATTACCCCCCTCCCCTACCCATAATTTTAAAGCATAATTTTAAACATATTTTTATGAACAAAATTGATGACCCCCCTAGTACGTGTGTACAAAATTGATGACCCCCTGGCTCACCAGAACAAAATGGGTGACCCCCCCTTAAAATCATCATCACCCCGCAGCCATAAATTAGGAACGGTCCTTAATCCGAGACATATTATTCGTCAGTGTTTCTGACGGCCATGTCAGTTGAATCACTTACTTCTGAAACTTTCATGAATATCTATCACTTTAACTTTAATTTTTCGTGACCATTCAAAACTTTACTTTTTTAGTGGGAGACAGCACATGGGCAGGGGAGGAGCCAACAAGGTCATGAAGTCATGGTTGTCACAACGTCATGGCCAAGGGACACAACTCAGCAACAACCTTGACACACGTCACCAAACTCCGTCGCTTGATAGTGGTTTATTTCCATGACTATTGTCAGTGTATGAAATAAGCCCAAACCCCAGCCAGACAAATGGATTTAACCAGACTAAATATGGTGAATTTACTCAGATGTATGGAACATCTAAAAATCTTACCAGACCATCGGGCTGGCTAGCTGTAAATTTAGACCGTCCGTCAGAAATCTAGACCGTCTCGGGCAGTCGGACGGGCCTTATTTCTTACACTGCTATTATTGCAGCTATCTCATCATGGAAAGCACTGGCAAGATTGAGATTCAAAAGTCGTATGATAGAAACTGATGTTTCATCATTTGCACGAGATACGCCATGTTTGTGATGAAGAAATAAATGGAGTGACTGCATACATTAGATCTATGGGCCCATGGGAGGCCCGGTGAAAATCTCCCTAATCCAGCTAATCTTATTTCAAGCTTCTGAATACTGCATTACAAAATAAAAATGATAAAAAGGGAAGGAAATCTCAATATGCTACCTTGCCAAAGACACGTGACAGTTTGTGTTCAAGTTGTGGGTGCTTAATGTGTATGGTAAATTCAATACCCTATTCACCATAGTAAGCATTTTTGGGGACAGCTATACAATTATGAAATTGAGTACATCATAAATGTACTTAAATGGTAACAATAAGTGCCCTATATCACGGAAATGCCTATGTCGTCAATGTGTTAATACCGACATAACAGGGGAGACAACTCTTAAGGCTACACCACAGCACAAGGCAACAAATCATCAGTAGAAACTGGTTTTATCACAATTGCCCTTCACAATAAACTTCAAATATATCATCAATATTTTCTCATTTCAACAAATGTGCAAAGTTTAACAATGGTGACGACCCACGTCAAACTATCGATAAATAACTGACGCATATATTTGCATATTTTGCTGACAGAAATGAAGGAACATCGACACATGCGCGAACTGCGGCTACTTTTTTTACAAACATGTGAATACCGTTACAGATCAGTCAGTTATATGCTACTTTAAAGCCTGACAAACCGTATTTTGTTTGACACATTATCTACTCAATATGCAAACTGGGTCAGTAAAAGGTGAATTTCCTAAAATATATCTTGAATAAAATGACCAGACTTTATTTGTTTGAAATGCAAGCTAAAAACAAGACTGACATTATACTCGGGTGAGTGCTGAAAAACTTTCAGGCCATCTCAGTGACTATTTTGTGTCAGAAAATACATCATTAATCAACAGTTCCATTTTTCTTGTCAAATAACTTGTTCATCTCATCTGGAAACCATCTTCCCAAGGCAAGAGTTTACTTAAGAAGATTCATTTACCGACACGCCATAACATTGGTCTGACCAAATCATGGCATGTGTGATTCACAGTTAAAAAATACATCTGATATTGCAGATATCCTACAGCTTCATTTACTATTAACATCTGTATAATCGCGTAAAAAAATAACCTCATCCACGAAATTGTAATGTCAACAAATTTTTCTATTCTGAGTGTAAAAATCCAAGCTGCTACACCAAAACACCCAGATAGCTAAAACTGTAACCTTGCGTGGTCAATTTCTTCTACCAATAAAAAGTTCATTTAAATCATAATGTCATATAGTAATCAAACATTATAAAATACAATTATGATCTCAAGATCGGAAACTGATGCAAATAGTCTTCTGCGTGTGGGTATGTGGTGATTAAAGCTGGTCAACAGACTGAGGTGCACGTCTACCTATAGAAATATGTGCAGCACCCTTATAATTTACTCCAGATGTCTACAGCCGGCTCGAACTGCAACATCTGCGTGGCTCCAAAGATTACTGGAGCAAGGCGACATTTAACAGGCATCTACCATCTGAGGATGACTGCACATACATAAAACAGTCCACATCTATGAATGAATTATGACTGAAAACAACTTTTAAGAATGTACAACGCCAACAGACGGGGACCCGGCAGCTAGCGGAGACTGCGCGATGCTGCTCGTTGGGCTGTCCTCCGGACGCTCGGTCAGGACTTCCAAATTGACACCTTGGGTAACTGCAGACGTCGACAAGGTCACAAGGTCAACTGTAGAGGGCGCAGGGGCAGACGAGAAAGTAACGATGTTGACCGAAGATGACGGAGTAGAGTAGGAGTCCGACCTAATAATATCTGATTCTTGTGGCAAAGGATTCTGTGTGTTTGAATGAAATGTTGAGACCAGAGTTGTGGCACTGGGCGATGGCTTATCAACATCACTGGAACCCTCACAGACAGACCCATCAGTCAGGGCCTCTACCGACGCCACACGATCACTCCACTCCTCGTCTTCCTGAGAATGAATTCCTGTTGCTTTTGACTGGACTGAGGAATCAAGCACTTTGTCTGGGCATATAGATTCGGAGTCAACACTCTCAGAATTTCGAATAGGTCCCTCCGTATCTTGCGTAGTAACTGAGTCACCGAGATTTTCCTCTCCTACAGATTGCATCAGCTTACCGCTAGTATTGCTTTGAATGGCACAAGTATCACGTGTTTGTGACTTCATTGTTGCTGACGACTCACTACAGACCTCCGTGCTTCCAACACCAGGAACATTTTCAGAAGTCCGAAAATCCAAAACATCGGATTCATTCATACTGATGTTTGCATTCTTGTCACAACCTTTTTCCTGGCTGTGTCTCGAGGTATCTGATTGGTCAGATTCAGCTGGCTGAGCACAAGAGCTACCTGCTGATTGGCTAGTTTCACAACCACTGGCATCTTTCTTGACTTCCTCTTCACCTTGCTCCACTTCCTTTATCTGAGGTTCCAAACTTGGATCTGATTGGTCAGTTGAGTCATGTGACACATGACCCCTTTCTCCCTGAGATCCATCATCCCTGTCCACTGATTGGCTAGAATCTACTGACCTTTCACCTTCTTCATCTTTGATAAGTGTAGTATTTGTTGTGAAGTTTTCACCAGGTGGTACACTTTGGCCTGAAACAAAACAAATTTCAGTTGTATTCAATAGCAACAGAAGCTATTAGACTGATTTGAACTAAAAATATAAATGCACAAAAAACAATCATATACAAATAAAATGTGCAATAACATTATTATTATTACATCAAAAAAAGCCCTGAACAATTCTTAATGTCAGGATGAAAGAGCCAAGGGAATCCAGCCTCACGTGATAATTCTGGAGTCCTGGGCCTAGATTTTTGAAGCTCTCTTGGCGCTAAGATAGTCGTAAGTTAATGTTAATGTATGGCACTTAAGACTATCTTAGCGCTAAGAGAGCTTCGAAAATCTAAGCCCTGTTTTGGTGTTGGACTCCTGTTTTAGTTCCTGGGAGAGGGACTATGCGAGATATAGAGATTACTAAACGAGCGTCTGTCAGATACGAGTACAGTAATCTGTTTCTTACACACTATAAAATCGCACCATTTCATAGTCAAATAGATTCAAATTCAATATTTTCTTATTGTAGCTGCACAATAATACACAACACAACGTTTATGAATGAGTGACATCACTTGGCTTTCTAATCACTACTCATCCCCATGGTGACCCTCAACAAAAAGTTTCTGCCACCTCTTCGCGTCATCAAGGCAATGGTGATAATGATAACTAAATAAGATCACAGAAAATTAATCAAACCCCCAAAAAAGATTATGTTACCATGTAAATGTGGATGATTTAAATTCTTGCAAGCATAAAATATTTAAGCGAGTGACGTCATCGTTATCGCTTGGTGGTTGTCGTCATCGGAAGATTGTTTTCGATATCTCCGCACATTGGGGATCTGTACTTGTGTACCAGTTTACGTTCAATGTTCTCCCATTGACTGGAGCCAAAACTATTGAGTGTGTGTAATTAGGTGTAACCCCTGTGCTTGAATGTGACATTGCTGAGGTTATGTTCACTATCAAAGGGGGACTACTCTTCTTCCCCACAGCCTTCTCGATTTCCCGAGCCGGAAACTGCCACTTCGAATGTAACGGAATTTACGGAGTTGTCAGTATGAAATGTGACTTAATTACATCCTGTATGTTATCAAGACATAAACTTTGCATTATCATGCATTGGAGGAATATCTTAAACAATAACTTGTGTAGATCAATCGTTCCTGTACATGTTCGACTGAATAGAAAGGGTGTGTGCCGCTATTTGCACTCATGAACCATTGCAAACGTTCCATGTTGTACATTGTTTCAACAAATGTGTTTTGGTTCTAATTGTCATGACTTGATAACATTGGAATCACAATGCTCGAAGCTGAAAGTGGGCCTTCATCATGTTTATCAGTGAAAAAATCTCATCTTCATCAAATCATCAAAGAAACGAGACAAATCGATCTCACAAGGTACAGGCACTAACGTTATCGTGTCGTGTTATCGTTATTTTGCAAGGCGATACATGACACTTGACGCTTGTCACATCTCTCCAGTAAAAGTTTCAATGTTGTACATTTTGAATATTTGAAGATAATCTCGGGCTTTATGTCTAACGACGATTTTCACATAATTATTTACACAGGTATCACTGATTGTTCGAGCCATTTTGAATTAATGACTGGAATCAAAAGTTTTAATAAAAAGGAATTAGAACACAAATAGATTTGTGTTATATTTATTTCAATTGTGTTTAATTGTATATATACCTGGTTATGTTGCAATCGCGAAAATAACAAGTAGGCGTAAAGGTTTTTTGGGGGGTACAAGATTCTGTTCGATTGAAGCACCAGTAACAGTAGTCCGTCATAACCTGACCCTAGGTCATCACCATGGAGTAGCCAATCACGGGACTAGAAATCGAACTGACACATATGTGTGATACCAGTATTTTCACATGGGTTTCTCACCCCGGGGTGTGTAAGAAAAAGGGGTACAGAAGCTCACCTTTATTAAATGACATATAATGTGGAAAACTAGGTTTTATGTTTACAATGGAATAGGATACAGCAAATGCTACTGTAGAATACAAAGTTTTGTAACAATTCTGTGCAAAGTTTATCACGATATGGTCGAACATAAACAGTGTCATCACTATCCCGTGCCAAGGGGCATTTTAGAATTACAAGTGTTTATATAGTAATGATTAATATGGAAATAAATGTTAACTGTACAAGAAAAAGAGCCATATACAGCCTCAAGAAGAGATACGAGTAAGAATCACATGTGAAACAAATACACACAAAAGGGGAAAAGAATATTTTGGAATGATTAATAGAATAGAACCCCTGTGCGTTTTGACATGAAAAATATCCACCCTTGTTGATAAAAGTTTGATGCCTGTTGAAACATATTTGGCATCCACAGACAGGTAAGACTACCTTGGGTTTCACTACTTGCGCTGGCAGGAAGTAGATGATTGATGGAGTGTTTCCTCGCCTTCCGCTTGCGACTGCCACTGACGGGGACGGCCTGAACAGGTACCTGCTGCATCTTGAGGTGAGGTGGGAGAGTCAGGGTTGTCACATCACTTATTGCTGCAAGACAAAGAGAGGTCAAGTTCTTCATCTCGATTGTCACTGTTGTCTCATTTCACAGAGGCAGTATTTTTCTCATCACATAATAGATTTACTGGATAGTGTTATCGACACAAGATAATCTGATAAACTTGTAACACATGCCGAGAATCATGTAAATGAGGTCACCTAGCAGTAACTGTTTTTAACCTTCCTACATCACTCCAACACCTGTTTGCTCAATAAACTGTTTCCTAAAGTTCCATAAACAGGGGCATAGAGACATTATTCAGTGTAACTTAAAAAACTCAGTTCGCTCACAACACTTTTCTAAAGTTAGTTCATAAAAAGAAATTACGTCTCAAGATCAATTATTGTAAGGATGGCATCATATGAACAATAGATTGTTACTGTCACGTGTTCCAATATGGTAATTCCAATATTTACGTTATTTACGTAAGCAATATTTAAGCCACATCACAGAAGGTGACGTGAAAATGGATTCCTGTATGTTACCCATGTGGGTTTTCAGCCAGTAGGTAATTCACATCTTGTCAGGGAACACCCATAACAAGTTTCACACTTGTATACATTGTCCGCTTCAACCTGACAGCTGCGATACATTCTTACATTTGAGAAACTAGAGTCTGTTTGACTTCATTCGAGACCGAAGAATTTCTCACTAACACAAAATCTAATAAATGCAACAAAATCAAACTTCGCACAGTCACATGAAATCGACAGACCAACTCTGATGATTTGTCTCATAATTTTGGACACCCGAATAAAAAAGTTGCTTAACAAACGATCATTATTTTGCTGACACTTTTTGCTGTTTCTTACGAGGGAGGACCACTTGCTGATGGAACAGCCAGATGTGCGCGTTGTCCATGTGAAATTGAAATTTCACTGCAAACGCTTGTTGATTACCTGGCTGATCTATCAGTAAGTAGTCCTCTCTCGTAAGAAACAGCGAAAAGTGACATTAAAATAATGATCGTTTGTTAAACAACTTTTTTATTAGGGTGTCCAAAATTATGAGACAAATTATCAGAGTTGGTCTGTCGATTTCATGTGACTGTGCAAAGTTTGATTTTGTTGCATTTATTAGATTTTGTGTTAGTGAACAAATCATCGGTCTCGAATGAAGTCAAACGGTCTATAGCATGTACCAGGGTATGTAATTTGTTGTGATTATGAGATTAAATTTTGTCTGTTTGTGTCCATATCTTTCTCTTGCATGGCTACCTGTAGTGGGGGAGGACACGATGGTGGCCTTCTTGGTAGAGCCTTCGCTGTGGTGCCGGATCTTGGTCGGGGTGTTTTTCTGACGACTGCCACGTGACACAGGGTCAAGGCTACAGGCTGGCAAGGTCGCTATCTGGGCTTCAAGGTCAAAATCCCTGAAGGTGAAGAAATATGCATTTACTGATGTTGCAGACAAAAACTACAACCCTCTCTCAGAACAACCTTGCTCCGGACAACTAAACTGTATTGAGGACAGAGTAGCCAATGAAAAGTAGTGATCATAACTTGTAGCATCTGAGGACTATAATTCTGACTGCATCCGCTTTGCTTCACATTGGAACTGAATAAAACTGACAGAACACGTACACTTAGTAACAATGTCTTGCCCTGTGTAAGCAGAACTAGCCACAAACTAGTGAAACGTGACCAGTACTGCTCCTCAAACACCTGACTTCCGAAGGCTGTTGCATATTTCCAAACTCCCTGCTCACTTATATAAGTCATCCTTCCAAGTGAGTCCCTAAAGTCCAAATCTCTTCCTTCCTTATTGCTGAAATATTGCTAAAACTGGCGAAAAACCTCACTCACTCACTCACTCTACCTTCCGTAACATAAGTAAACCTTATTTGTTATTTTCATACCCATCATAATATCAACCGACAAAAACATCCCATGATATTTTTATGCTCGACAAAGCATCAACCCAAGTAAATTTAATTGGTTATTTTGTTGTACCCAACACATCAACGTAGATAAACATCCCACATTATTTTCTATCCTTGACAAAGCCTAACCCAAGTAAACTTAATTGGTTATTTTTGGTACCCAACACAACATCAACATACATAAACATCCCACGTTATTTTCTGTCAACGTACCCAGTCTTGTATTTCTTTTCCTCAAGGTTGGCATCCGAGTCAGAGCTGCAACGTTTGGTGGCTGGCCTCCGTACCTCCTGAACCTCATCTTCCAGGGAGAAGTCTTCGTACAGCCACATTCTGCAGACACAGGGAACCTTTGTCACATGTACAATATACATCTAATGATGTCACAGACTTAAAGCCCTATAGGACCATTGGCTATACAGCATGTGTTTGTTCTTAAATGCTGCACTCAGCAATATACCAGGTTCACGACAGCAGTCATCAATCCAGTGATAGATGTTATGAGCATGGATCCGCAACACCAGCCACCATCACATCTATCAGGTATGCCTGCTCTAACCTAGAATCTCTTCAAGCCACTATCAGATCTATCAGGTCTGCCTACACTAACCTAGAATCTCTTCAAGCCGCCATCAGATCTGTCAGGTATGCCTACACTAACCTATAATCTCTTCAAGCCGCCATCAGATCTATCAGGCATGCCTACTCTAACCTATAATCTCTTCAAGCCGCCATCAGATCTATCAGGCATGCCTACTCTAACCTATAATCTTTTCAAGCCACTGTCAGATCCATCAGGTCTGCCTACTCTAACCTAGAATCTCTTCAAGCCACCATCAGATCTATCAGGCATGCCTACTCTAACCTAGAATCTCTTCAAGCCACCATCAGATCTATCAGGTCTGCCTACTCTAACCTATAATCTCTTCAAGCCGCCATCAGATCTATCAGGTCTGCCTACTCTAACCTAGAATCTCTTCAAGCCGCCATCAGATCTATCAGGTCTGCCTACTCTAACCTAGAATCTCTTCAAGCCACCATCAGATCTATCAGGTCTGCCTACTCTAACCTAGAATCTCTTCAAGCCGCCATCAGATCTATCAGGCATGCCTACTCTAACCTATAATCTCTTCAAGCCACCATCAGATCTATCAGGTCTGCCTACTCTAACCTAGAATCTCTTCAAGCCACCATCAGATCTGTCAGGTATGCCTACACTAACCTAGAATATCTTCAAGCCACCATCACATCTATCAGGTATGCCTACTCTAACCTAGAATCTCTTCAAGCCACCATCACATCTATCAGGTATGCCTACTCTAACCTAGAATCTCTTCAAGCCACCATCAGATCTATCAGGTCTGCCTACACTAACCTAGAATCTCTTCAAGCTACCATCCGATCTATCAGGCATGCCTACACTAACCTAGAATCTCTTCAAGCCACCATCAGATCTATCAGGTATACCTACACTAACCTAGAATCTCTTCAAGCCACCATCAGATCTATCAGGTCTGCCTACTCTAACTTAGAATCTCTTCAAGCCACCATCAGATCTATCAGGTCTGCCTACTCTTACCTAGAATCTCTTCAAGCCACCATCAGATCTATCAGGTATGCCTACACTAACCTAGAATCTCTTCAAGCCACCATCAGATCTATCAGGTGTGACCACTCTAACCTAGAATTTCTTCAAGCCACCAAGAAAAGATGGAGGAATGTCAGATATCTATACACCCCAACATGTATGCTTTCCTTTCAGTACTGCCTTGTGTTTATGTCCCATTGACAGAGTTAATATTGTAGTAGCGCTATGAGCAAACACATAGTGTATGGAGTTGACGCCATATAAATGGACTCATTACTCAGAGAATACTTTAGTTTTTGTTTGTTAGATGTTTACACATCACTTTCTCTGCATTTTCTGGGTGACTCCGCAGCAATTTTCACTGACTACAGAATCCCACATTCCACAGACTTAATAACCGAAATTTATCTTCAGCAGATGTCTTCAAACATCACTGTCATTACAACATCACTTTAACTGACTGCACACGCACATGCACATGCACAAGCACACCTACCACACACACTCAGTGACTTACGTTTCATCGTCAGTTGACGTCTGCTCTGCAAGTCTGGCCGCCAGCCTTTCCTTTGAAGGTTGTATTATACCCTCATTGATCAGCTCCAGATATCTTTGTCCCCGGTTCCGTCGCCGAGACTTACGCACCGGCTGGTAGTTGCCATCCTCTCGATCCTTGCCGTCCTCATCAAGCCCACCGTAACAATCTTGATCTGACTTGTCTGCCCTTGACTCTGGAGTTGTCCCCCTTACGTCTTCAATGGGCTCCGGTTTCACTTCTTCCAGCGGCAATGTCATCATGCGCTTCTTTGTCCGGACTACATCAGACACTACCGCATCAGATGAACTTCGTTTCTGATTTGCTTCAGTTTCTAGGAAACTTTTAAAATCAGGAACGCGTAGAATTGGTGAGTACTCTTTTTTTACTTCTTCTTTTTCTTTGGTTTCTGTAGCACATTTCTCTTTGGGATACGCTTCTGTCACAAGGCGATCAATTCTCGACTGGGCTACCTTCTTGTCAGGGTTTTCCTCCTCTGCAGGTAATTTGGACTCGCCAAATTCCGCACCTAGAAGTACCTTCCGTACTTCGTCAAGTGATGTCAAACCTTTTAATTTAACTGCCGATCGTGACAACTCAGTGGACGAGAGTCGATCAAAAATATGATCAACAACCAGCTTACCACATGACACAATGTCATTATCGTTTTGATCGGACAGACAACCTGCAAGTGTCTCTGCCTGAGACTTTCGTCTCTCTGGAGTGTCGTCTTTGGACCTGACGCTTGTATAACTTGAGTGGTCACCCATCCCTGCAACGAAGACATCTTGATCCTTGGCTGACTCCGACCAGCTTCTGGCCCTTTGACCCGGACGTTCTGGTATTCTTGTTTCAACTGCTTCCACTGGCAAAGGTTTATCTGCTACACCACAGGCATCAACCTTCCCAGAATTCTCGGGTTCCTGTTTCACAAACTCACTTCCGGTAACTTCCTTGCAAGCTTTCTTTTTCATTTCATGATCTTTCATCGACTGTAGTATTTTCAAGATGTCCGACAACGACTGTTCCGATTTCCATGGCAACCCTAAACTCCCAGCAGCTTCTGTATTGGAATCGGACTCTGATTTACTTCTACTTTTCCCTGAGGTAAGTTCACCCTCACCACCCAAGGCCTGCTTCTTGTGTACAACTCTCACCTTCTTCCCACTTTCTGTTTTAGTGATCAGCTTCTTGGCATGAGGAACAGTTACCTCCCCTTGTTGCAGTTCATTTGCACACATCTGTAAACAAATATATCTTGCTTTACTAAGTGTAAATGATCTCATATGCTCAAGAATGACAGGCATGTGACACTTTTTCACTGAATTATTGTTTTCATAACTTGATTTGTATGTGGTTGGGGATAGACATAAAGTTATGAGTAGTTGATGCCGAAATACATACACAAATGTTCAAAAGAGACGCAGAAAAAAAATACATCGCATTTAAAAATATATTGCAAAACGATATTCCACATACCAATTCTTGCCAAGAAATATACCGGTACAGATAATGTAGCTACCAATCATTAAAGTACAGTACACTACACCATTTCATTACTTAAAAGGGCCCTTATATTTCCTGTAAAGACCCTTAAAATAGGAGCCCCTGGACCCCTAGAAGGTCATGGCAAAACCCTGAGAGGCCCTTTCTGGCCAACTGATGTATTGAAGATGTCATCTTCATGTCTTCTGACATGTAAAATATCACAAAACCCACAAAACCCTGACTTTGCCCTGCTTCAATAAGCAGTGCTTGGACAATACACATTCTAAGATGCCTAGCTGTTAGAACAATCAAAAAAAAAATACATTATGAGACAATAAAGGTATAGTTTTTTGATGACGTAACAATTGAATGACGGTATCCCGTCACTGCGCCATTCTAGTGTGCCCCCTTGTAATCGAATTATTTTACATTACGTCACAATGTAAGTGACGTCACGATGCATGTCAGTTGTCATCGCCTCGTATGGCCTCCTACAGTAAACTACTCCGTTGCATCCCGTTTCTTGGTTTGCAGTTGCTTCACGCAGCTAACATCACTGGTGGAAACATTACGTTTATGTTTTACGACGGTTAAAATGTGTCAATTCGACTCACAAGTTTTCAGCGACCGCGGTAGCGTTACGCAATGTTTACATTCCACAATGCAATCGTGGAATGTCGCTTGACTACTCAACTTCCTCTGGATGTACTGATCTAAACTTACGCTGGTAGTAGAAATGCAACGCGTTAATATTGCCCCATATGGTTTACGTTAATGACAGATGTAATTAAAATAATTCAGAGAAGATATTTAATCGAGCGTAAACCGTCATCAAACTGTTATCATTTGTTTATTCTGGTAGCGTTAGATGTCTTAACGTGGGGGCAGCCACATCAATAGAACAAGCGCCAGTTAGCCCTGTGCGAGGATTCTTAATTTAGGTCACCGACACCGTCATTTGTTTTCTACCTTAAATTAATCGTAATTATCCTTAGAAAGTATTAAATTTAGCATCTTAGAAAGATGTAAAGTTAAGCTCTACCCCAATGTGTTTTGTAATAAAGTATAGTTTTGCCCTGAACTATTATAACATCAAAGCACTTTCGGACTACCGTCCTCGTGCTTTAATTATAATAGTTCAGGGCAAAACTATACTTAATTACAAAACACATTGGGGTAGAGCGAACTTTATTTCTTAATTATCATATATTCTAAGATGCCTAGCGGTTAGAACAATCGAAAAATAAATACATTATGAGACAATAAAGGTATAGTTTTTTGATGACGTAACAATTGAATGACGTTTTCCCGTCACTGCGCCATTCTAGTGTGCCCCCTTCGTAATCGAATTATTTTACATTACGTCACAATGTAAGTGACGTCACGATACATGTCAGTTGTCATCGCCTCGTATGGCCTCCTACAGTAAACTACTCCGTTGCATCCCGTTTCTTGGTTTGCAGTTGCTTCACGCAGCTAACATCACTGGTGGAAACATTACGTTTATGTTTTACGACGGTTAAAATGTGTCAATTTGACTCACAAGTTTTCAGCGACACGTTACGTTACGCAATGTTTACATTCCCACAATGCAATGCGTGGAATGTCGCTGACTACTCAGCTTCATCTGGATGTACTGATCTAAACTTCGTTGGTAGTAGAAATGCGGCGTTCATATTGCCCAATATGGTTTACGCTAATGACAGATGTAATTAAAATAATTCAGAGAAGATATTTAATCCGAACGTAAACCGTCATCAAACTGTTATGATTTGTTTTTTTCTGGTAACGTTCGTCTTAACGTAGGGGGGCAGCCACATCAATAGAACAGCGCACCAGTTAGCCCTGTGCGAGGATTCTTAATTTAGGTCACCGACACCGTCATTTATTTTCTGCCTTAAATTAATTGTAATTATCCTTAGAAAGTATTAAATTTAGCATCTTAGAAAAGATGTAAAGTGCGAACTTTATTTCCTAATTATAAAGCCTTTATATTTCCTGCCGAAAACTGTCAGAAAGCTGGCTCTGATTGGTCAGATAACATCTGGAAAACTTACGGTGTTGACCTGAAAAAGGCTAAATAAAATGGGAACACCCAGAAGCGGTATTTCCCAAACCTGAAGCAATCATATATCTCCATCCTCCTCATTTCATTGTAGGAACATGTTTCATATCAAATCTAAACTGCATAAAGTCATGAAAGTATTATGAGGTGACGTGAGGTGAAATTGTGTTTAACGTCGTTCTTGAGAGTATTTCGCTCATATGACGACGTGCATGCGTGTGTATGTGTATGTGCGGCTCCTTGTACTAGCCCAGACTTAAGCTGGTTTTATAGTGCTAGCCCACTGAGATACCATGCCGCAGTGAAGCATGAATACCCCACTCAGACACATTATACTGACTCCGAGCCGACCAGTCCTTGTTGTACCCATTAATGCCGAGCGCCAGGCAGGGACCAACAAGTACCTTCCGCTCTCCGGGCGGATGCTCTAACCACTACACCACGGACGCGGTTGAAAGTATTATGAAGATGTGGTTACAGGAAGCTTATTTTAAGAGATGTAAGGAACAGGACAACAAACAGCCCGAATATTAGTCTGATGACATCAACTGTTTGCAGACAAAACACAGCCAACAAAATAATGCTTTGTAATGTGTTATATCGCTAGTGACAGATGATTTCTCCCATATCTGCAGAAACCCACCTCAGCCAGCTCCAACAGAGCTGATTTTGAAGGGCACTTGCTGTCAGGGGAGGTAACTCTGCGTTCGGCCTCGCCCGTCTGCCGAGGTGTCATAGACTGTTGCCCTGCCATCAGGAGCAGACTTAAACCTCCCATCTTGGACGGATCTGAAACAGTTACAAATATAACATTTAATAACCTGAGCAGTCACATAGCAAGCCAATGATAGGTTGCAAAGCTTTATATGTAGATAGTATTGAAGGCTTGCCCAACCTTTTTAGCAACAATCATCCGTAAGCTCGGGCGTTTTTTCATAATGGTAGTTACACCCTGCTGAGAGCTACTCTTTGAACTTGTCCTGCTGTCCAAACAAAACATTTTCAAAGGCAAGAAATGGAGTGGGGTGAAAATGAGGATAAATGCCATGATACTACACTTCATTCTAATATGGATACAATGGCACAGTTTAACTGATACTCGACCCAAACAAATGAATGCCCAGCACCAGCGTGGTTAACAAGTACAGTCTTTTAAAGTCTTCAGTCATCATATGAGTAGAGAATCAAATTACTGACTTCCTCTCTCCAGACAGACTACTTAACATACTACACAACTTCATAAACCAGATGAAAATAGCACAAATTTAAAAAACACAGTTATTTCCAAACCTTTTGTAATACACAATCAAATCATAAGACAGCAGTAATACCCTGCTCCTGACAACCAATCAAATTTGGGAAGAACTTATATCACGATAAGGCGATATGCATTATATCATCTTGTATGTATCTCCCAAGGACTTACCAGACAAAATTAATCACATATGAAACATATAGCTGCAATTGGATGTATTATTCCCGACCAATTCCTCGGAAGCCATCACCTGACAATTTGATGTAATATTCCTGATTGTAAAACCAACTCACCTGCCAATTTACCAGGCATAATGGAACCATGCAGGTGTATCTCTTGGACCGATTTGACCACTCGGGCGTTAGTTGGACGGGTGGTCATCTTGGTGGGGGTCTGATGGGTCTTGTCGGGGTTGTGCCACTTGTAGTCTGGGTTCGCCTTCATAAACGCATCCTTGTACTGCAAGAAAACCCTTCGTGTAGGACTGGTTGTCTTTAGAGGTCTAGGCATTCATCAGTCTCCTTTACTGGAGTATCCCAGGTTAGGACCCCAGCAAACTAACTCAGGTGGACAGACTTAGTGATTTGCTTGACTGCATGCCATCTTGCCCGATAGTGGGAAGCACTGCAGATACTACAGATCACTGGATTGTCTGGTCCAGATTTGATTATTCAGGGCTCCAGATAATTTTCAACATCGGGAGTAAGTACTCCTTATTTTTTCAATACAGGAGTACTGGAAAACCTTAAGAGTACATTTACAGTACTGAATGGGATTTAATGGAGTATCAGTAATCTTGTGTTTCGCACCACAACATTGCAATAATCAATAAAACAATACATTTTCAGATAACGTGTCTGTAAATGATTCTAAGACCGTACACCATTGCCATTGTGAGTATCTGCTACGTTTTCTGAATTATTTCCTACCGTAGTGTCAAACGTGTGTTAGTGAGTGAATATCCGTGTCATGTGACATAGACTAACTCTTTGTCTCTGAACTTATATAATTTAGATCGAAACAAATAATCCGTTTTAAATTCAAAAAGAGCCCAAGTGAGATGGGAGATTCAGAACCTGGGGCAATCTAGACTTGCTTCATTTAGGATTTTAGCATTGCAGATAGAAGGAAAATGATGTGATTCAGGGACTGTGAGACGGACTACACGAGGCTTCATTCTGTTCCTCGGCTGCATGTAACCTCTGCATCATGAGTGAGTATGATTTTATGCCACTTTTAGCAATATTCCAGCAATATCACAGCAGGGGACACCAGAAATGGGCTTCACACATTGTACCCATGTGGGGAATCAAACCCAGGTCTTCAGCGTGATGATCCAACACTTTACCCACTAGGCTACCCCACGACTCTTGTTACGCCTTGTTCTGACTGGCTCACTTACAGACTCGATAGTACAGGGTATTATAATTGTACCATTACAACAGATAAACCTCCATGGCTTCACTTTCAGACAGTTCTGTAAGGTACAATGCTAAAAACAGCTCTCCTGAGCAAGACAGAGCAAGCTAGACGTAGAGGTGATGATGGGTGTAAATTCATGTCCGGAGACAGAGTGAGCTAAGATTTTAGCAATATTCCATCAATATCACGTCAGGAGACAACAGAAATGGGCTTCATACATTGTACCCATGTTGGGAATCGAATCTGGGTCTTTGTGGGTTGAGCGAACGCCTTAACCACTAGGCCGCCCCACCGCCCCTGATGATGATGATTAGGTTGATTTCTTGCTATTTTGAAAGACAAATGTTCCCAAATACCCACAAAAGACATGTATTTTATTCTTCGCCAAAGCGGTGCCGAGGAGTGAGTGAGTGAGTTAATATTAAACGTCACATTGGCAATATCTCAATATAGCCATATCGTGACGAGCGGCGCCGAGGAAGACTGTAAAGTAGTTCTGAAGTGATATCATTATTCTTCCAAACAAATACAGAAAGCTGAACAACATGTTTCAAACTGTTCCTGTCATTATGGTCACAACTTATCAATTATAATAAGCAGTATAGCGAACATAATGTCATCTCATCTACTATTGGCTGCTAGATAAAGTGTAATCAGCAGGTCCATTGTGGCAATTGTGTCACCTGAGTTATTTGTCAGTCTGTGTTAGGAAATATGTTCTATTAGTTCTATTTCACTACAAATGTTAAAACAATTTGATTCCGTTCATTACCCTCCATAAGAAAGACTTTCTGGCCAGGCTGTATGTCAGCCTCTCTACTTATGGTCCGATGGGTGTTTTTTTATATTCTATAATTTGGAAATTTGGAAATTCGCAAACACATAAAATTGTTGAGAGTCTTTGCACTGTCAGATCAAGTGGAGGTGGGTGGACACAAAACTCGCCCCACCTCTGTTCCCATTAGCATGGCATGTGGCAGGGCTCCAGATAAGGGCCGTATCGGTGTATGTACGGATAAAAAATATGCACGATACGGTAGGAAATAATTCAGAAAACGTAGCAGATACGCACCACGGCAATGGTGTACGGTCTTAGAATCATTTACAGATGTATTTATCTGAAAATGTATTGTTTTATTGTTTATTGACCTGTTTGCACAGGATTAGCATATTGTGGTGCATATATGAAACGAAACACAAGATTACTTATACTCCATTATATTCCATTCAGTACTCTAAATGTACTCTTAAGGTTTTCCAGTACTCCTATATTGAAAAAATAAGGAGTACGTACTCCTGATGTTGAAAAAGTATCTGGAGCCCTGCATGTGGGGAGACGATTTCACTTTCAGAGCAACACCTGTGCTGTCCATGTACACACGTATACTTTTCATATCCTGCAGTGCAACTACCATAGATTTATATGGCCAACACTGAGCCCAGGAGTTCCCCCGTCGGTTGTTGTGCTGTTTAATGCCACACTCAGCAATACTCCAGCTATATGACAGCCATCTATAAATAGTCTGGACCAGACAATCCTGTGATCAACAACATGAGCATCAATCAACACAATTAGGATACGATGACATGTGCCAACCAAGTCAGCAACCCTGACCACCCAGTGCCGACAAGCATGGGTTGCTGAAGATCAATTATAACCCGGATCTTCACAGGTCTCCACTGAACACATCTGGGATACGGTAGGGAGATCACAGACCACTGAGCACGCTGGCTGAACTTGGCAAGGTGCTGCAAGAGGAGTAGGACAAACTCCCTCAGATCGCCTTTGGGAGACTCATACTCTGTGCGCCCTACCGAGTGAGTGCATCAGGGGAAGCGACTCTCCAACTCTGAGTCCTAACAGTGTAAGTACTACTGCAGGTTGGTTGTTGTTTAACGCCGCACTCAGCAGTATTCCCGCTATATGGCGGCGGTCTGTAGATAATAAAGTCTAGACCAGACAATCCCGTGATCAACATCATGAGCATCGATCTACCCAATTGGGAACCGATGACATGTGTCAACCAAGTCAGCGAGTCTGACCACCCAACCCCGTTAGTCGCTTCTTACAACAAGCATGGGTTACTGAAGATCGATTCTAACACGGACCTTCACGGATCCCTTCAATAGAGACACTGTGAATGAAACATGAACTTTGCAGAAAACGTCATGATTTACAAGTTCAACTGTATTTACGTTTTAGCTGCACAATGCTATATACTCAGAGATTAGGATTCGGATTATCTTGTGCAATAATGTCATAAAATAACAGGATATGACAACCAGCTGTTACGACATTCATGATCTGTGATCTACCAGCAGAGATCGAAATTGTGCCATGTATCTTAAACTACTTTTCTACCTGAAATGAATAATGTTGTTGTATTTTCAGGTTTACATATATACGGGGTGGTGGGTAGATTAGTGGTTAATGATTTGGCTCGTCATGCCAAAACCCCGGGTTTGATTCCCTACATAGCCACTATGTGTGACTTGTTTCATCGGCATTCTAGACGTTGGTGAGTCAAATATGAAGCATATTTGGTCAAAATATTAATGAAACGTTAACTTTAAGGATGACAACTTCTTGTTTATTGCATAGAATGTCGTTTTGATGTAGATTCTTACACCGTTATCACACTAAAGCCAGTAAAGGTGACTCAAAACGTCTCTCTATGCAATAAATAAGAAGTTGGCAACAATGTTAGGAGTCCTTTTCTGGTGTCCCCCACCATGATAACACTGGAATATTACTATAAGAGGCATAAAACCTCACTCACTCACTCCTAAAACTAGCCATGCTAGTACTTTGGACTGACTGACTGACTGAGTTTGGTTTTACGCCGCTTTTAGCAATATTCCAGCAACATCACGGCGGGGGACACCAGAAATGGGCTTCACACATTGTGGCCATGTGGGGATTCGAACCCGGGTCTTCGGCGTGACGAGCCAACGCTTTAACCATTAGGCTACCCCACCGCCCCACTAGTACTTTGGAACAGCTGATTGCTGGATATTAAGAACAGTTGGACGGGTCACCTTTTGAACTTCCCTCACTTCTGATAGTTTCCTCACAACACATAATGTTGCATATAATCCGCAGATAACGGACAAAATGCCACAAATACGAGTTTCATGACTTTTCATTTTTACCCAGTCAACTAAAGTTTGTTTCAAGGTGTTGATAGTGGTATTCTGATCGTGGTTGCTGTACGTAACAGTCAGACTTTCGACCTTCTGATCAGTGGATCATCCATTTCGCCAAAATTCATACACACAATATGGAAGGACATTTATAATAACAACAATACAGTGCATTATGAAATCAAGATAAACACTGGACCAGATCGTGAGCTGAATGACAGGAATAAGGTGGTTGTGTACTTCAGTTCAAACAAATATGGCAAAAACATTTGAAAAACCAAGCCACAATGCCACGATTGACCTTCACAGAAACAAGCTGTCAACTTCTGAGCATCCTGAAAATTTGTGCTCCATGTAACATTTCACAGGTGATGGGGCCCTGTCGGTGTCAATATCCTTCAATCACCACGAATACCCGCAACAGTGCTGATGGAGCAATTTCCACTCACTCACTCAAGTAATGTAGTTACCCACCTGTTTGGCCAAACTTGTGTACACCGACTTCTCCGTGTCGCCAAGATTAGCCCACAGATCTCCCAGAATCCTTGTAACACTACGGTTGTCCAAGTCCGGGTTCTTCTCGCGTACCATGCTACGGTGTCGCTTGCAGAAGATGAGGAACGCATTCATTGGACGGCGGACGTCCGCCTTCTTCTCATGTTCAGGGGAATCCATCTGTAACCATGACAACATGAACAGTGAGTGGTTTTAGGGAGATAGTGGAGGGGGCAGAGAGGTGGTTACTTGAGTAGAAGGATGGTGGGAGCACAGTTGGAAGGATGCTAGTGATTGGGTGAGTGAGTGAGTGCCCCATGGGTGGGTGGGTGAGTTGGTGGGTGTGTGGGTATGTGGATGGGTGAGTGAGTGAGTGGGTATGTGGGTGGGTGTGTGGGTATGTGGGTGGTTGAGTGAGTGAGTGGGTATGAGGGTGGGTGAGTGCCCCATGGTTATGTGGGTGAGTGAGTGAGTGAGTAGGTGCGTATAAATATATTAAAATCCAACAGATCAACATAATATAGACATCCCTCGCCATAACGCGGGTTTTGGGACCATGGATGACCCCACGCGTTATTAGACACCCACGTTATAGTAACGATTACATAACTCGGAACAAAGGCCAAGTAAAACTGCTATTTCATGTATTGTGCCCAGTCAAAACTATATAGTATTGTTGGAGGTGAAAAAAAACAAAACTTTGTAAATGAAAATAGATGTATGTACATGAAACTTGCAATCAAACATCACAAGACATGATAATTCAATTGTTGTTCCTGTCATGCTACCTGTTATTCAACTAAGCCGGAAATAGCAATCAGCTGGGCACAGATCGATGTTTTGATCCAATGTACCGGTGATTCAGTTAAAAACGATCCGAAAATATAACATCAAAGAATTATCAGAATAATTTATATGTCAAGCAGTTATTCTAACAGAGATCTTATTGTAAACAGTTTTAATGAATGAAAATGGGATTGAATTTAATCAAATAAAATGTGTTTTCTGAGATCATACATTCTCGTATGGCGGTGTTTACCCGCGCAATTACGCGGTGTGTTGCATCATAGCAAACGTTGTAAGTGCTCGGCTGATGATCGACATGTCTTTATGATAAAGTTGTTACGATGTTTCGCTGTTTATCTATTATTATTGAAAAAAAACCTGCATGTTTTAAGCATCTGAAAAACCATGGATATGTACGATAAACACTGTTAATTGCAATCCGCACTGAATTTCACTAGTTTACAACGTGATTAACCAGAGCTCAACAGCGGATTTGTTGATGTGCTATTTTCGATGACGTGAATATGTGTGATCACTGGGCAACTTTTTTTATGGGAGCCACGTATTACCCCGCGGTTTAACCGAATCCGTGGTATCGCGAAGAGCGTTATTGCGATATATTGTATATAATTTTAAACACAGTCAAGACTATAAATATGACAAAGAATACTGGTACTTTAATTGTAGGTATTATTAGTTATAGTTAAACCTACCTGTGACACCATTACAGAATATATTAAACCCCCATTACAACACACTCATACACACACGTGTATATCTACATACATGGGTAACTATAAACACATGTATATCTACATACATGGGTAACTATAAACACGTGTATATCTACATACATGGGTAACTATAAACATGTCTATATCTACATACATGGGTAACTATAAACATGTCTATATCTACATACATGGGTAACTATAAACACGTGTATATCTACATACATGGGTAACTATAAACACGTGTATATCTACATACATGGGTAACTATAAACACGTGTATATCTACATACATGGGTAACTATAAACACGTGTATATCTACATACATGGGTAACTATAAATAAACACGTGTATATCTACATACATGGGTAACTATAAACACGTATATCTACATACATGGGTAACTATAAACACGTGTATATCTACATACATGGGTAACTATAAACACGTGTATATCTACATACATGGGTAACTATAAACACGTGTATATCTACATACATGGGTAACTATAAACACGTGTATATCTACATACATGGGTAACTATAAACACGTGTATATCTACATACATGGGTAACTAACTATAAACATACGTGTATATCTACATACATGGGTAACTATAAACACGTGTATATCTACATACATGGGTAACTATAAACACGTGTATATCTACATACATGGGTAACTATAAACACGTGTATATCTACATACATGGGTAACTATAAACACGTGTATATCTACATACATGGGTAACTATAAACACGTGTATATCTACATACATGGGTAACTATAAACATGTGTATACATACATCGGTAACTACATATATCTACATACATGGGTAACTATAAACACGTGTATATCTACATACATGGGTAACTATAAACATGTGTATATCTACATACATGGGTAACTATAAACACGTGTATATCTACATACATGGGTAACTATAAACACGTGTATATCTACATACATGGGTAACTATAAACACGTGTATATCTACATACATGGGTAACTATAAACACGTGTATATCTACATACATGGGTAACTATAAACACGTGTATATCTACATACATGGGTAACTATAAACACGCAGTATATCTACATACATGGGTAACTATAAACACCTGTATATCTACATACATGGGTAACTATAAACACGTGTATATCTACATACATGGGTAACTATAAACACGTGTATATCTACATACATGGGTAACTATAAACACGTGTATATCTACATACATTGGTAACTATAAACACGTGTATATCTACATACAAGGGTAACTATAAACACGTGTATATCTACATACATGGGTAACTATAAACACGTGTATATCTACATACATGGGTAACTATAAACACGTGTATATCTACATACATATAAACGGGTAACTATAAACACGTGTATATCTACATACATGGGTAACTATAAACACGTGTATATCTACATACATGGGTAGCTATAAACATGTGTATATCTACATACATGGGTAACTATAAACACGTGTATATCTACATACATGGGTAACTATAAACACGTGTACATCTACATACATGGGTAACTATAAACACATGTATATCTACATACAAGGGTAACTATAAACACGTGTATATCTACATACAAGGGTAACTATAAACACGTGTATATCTACATACATGGGTAACTATAAACACGTGTATATCTACATACATGGGTAACTATACACATGTGTATATATACATACATGGGTAACTATAAACACGTGTTTATCTACATACATGGGTAACTATAAACACGTGTATATCTACATACATGGGTAACTATAAACACGTGTATATCTACATACATGGGTAACTATAAACACGTGTATATCTACATACATGGGTAACTATAAACACCTGTATATCTACATACATGGGTAACTATAAACACGTGTATATCTATATACATGGGTAACTATAAACATGTGTATATCTACATACATGGGTAACTATAAACACGTGTATATCTACATACATGGGTAACTATAAACACGTGTATATCTACATACATGGGTAACTATAAACACGTGTATATCTACATACATGGGTAACTATAAACACGTGTATATCTACATACATGGGTAACTATAAACACATGTATATCTACATACATGGGTAACTATAAACACGTGTATATCTACATACAAGGGTAACTATAAACATGTGTATATCTACATACATGGGTAACTATAAACACGTGTATATCTACATACATGGGTAACTATAAACACACGTGTATATCTACATACATGGGTAACTATAAACACGCGTGTATATCTACATACATGGGTAACTATACACATGTGTATATCTACATACATGGGTAACTATAAACACGTGTATATCTACATACATGGGTAACTATAAACACGTGTATATCTACATACATGGGTAACTATAAACACGTGTATATCTACATACATGGGTAACTATAAACATGTGTATATCTACATACATGGGTAACTATAAACACGTGTATATCTACATACATGGGTAACTATAAACACGTGTATATCTACATACATGGGTAACTATAAACACGTGTATATCTACATACATGTGTAACTATAAACACGTGTATATCTACATACATCGGTAACTATAAACACGTGTATATCTACATACATGGGTAACTATAAACACGTGTATATCTACATACATGGGTAACTATAAACACGTGTATATCTACATACATGGGTAACTATAAACACGTATATCTACATACATGGGTAACTATAAACACGTGTATATCTACACATACATCGGTAACTATAAACACGTGTATATCTACATACATGGGTAACTATACACACGCGTGTATATCTACATACATGGGTAACTATAAACACGCGTGTATATCTACATACATGGGTAACTATAAACACGTGTATATCTACATACATGGGTAACTATAAACACGTGTATATCTACATACATGGGTAACTATAAACACGTGTATATCTACATACATGGGTAACTATAAACACCTGTATATCTACATACATGGGTAACTATAAACACATGTATATCTACATACAAGGGTAACTATAAACACGTGTATATCTACATACATGGGTAACTATAAACACCTGTATATCTACATACATGGGTAACTATAAACACGTGTATATCTACATACATGGGTAACTATAAACACATGTATATCTACATACATGGGTAACTATAAACACATGTATATCTACATACAAGGGTAACTATAAACACGTGTATATCTACATACATGGGTAACTATACACACGTGTATATCTACATACATGGGTAACTATAAACACGTGTATATCTACATACATGGGTAACTATAAACACGTGTATATCTACATACAAGGGTAACTATAAACACGTGTATATCTACATGCATGGGTAACTATAAACACGTGTATATCTACATACATGGGTAACTATAAACACGTGTATATCTACATACATGGGTAACTATACACATGTGTATATCTACATACATGGGTAACTATAAACACGTGTATATCTACATACATGGGTAACTATAAACACGTGTATATCTACATACATGGGTAACTATAAACATGTGTATATCTACATACAAGGGTAACTATAAACATGTGTATATCTACATACATGGGTAACTATAAACATGTGTGCATA